AGAAACAAAGACAAAAATGTGTGATGATGATTGTCAGAATCTTATTCCCCACTTCTTTTCCAAGCACAACCTGAGGTTTAAAGAAACTTGGCCTTCATTTTTAATATTCATGGTGACTATTCAAGGGGAAGTAACAGTGGAAATGTGACAGAAGGGGGACCCTGGCCAGAGGTGCTGCTACAAGGAGCTATCTTGTAAAGTTAACTTGCTTTGACAAGTTCCAGATGTGATGCACAAGACCAGAAATTCTGAGACCGTGAAGCCCAACACCGTCCCAGAGATGTGATCTGCAAGAGCAGAGAGTGCTTAGACGATCATCTTCTTTCTAGACTGAAAACCAGAATGTATTTTGGTTTCTAATTTTAATTTTAAGGCCGATATTTGAGGTGTCCTGCTTTATACACTCTCTCTAAGGAAGCAGTAATAACTCTCACTTGTGGGGCTATTTCCTCCTCTGACTTTGGTCCCCACATGAATCTACTTTCTTAGCCATGTAATGACTACACAAGGTAGTAGCTCTGTATTCTTGAAGTGTGTGGCTTGGGCTGGAGAGATGGCTCAATTGGTAAAGTCCTTGTCCCACAAGAGGGAGAATCTGAACTGGATCCCAAGAACCCATATTTAAAAATTGGGCGCTTGTGTCATGAGTTTGTAATCCCGTTACTAGGAAGCACAGATAGATGGATCCTGCCAGCCTGGCCTAGTTGGTGAGTTTGAGGCCAGTGAAAGGCTGTGTCTGACCAAAACAAAGTGTAGATTGCCCCAGTGAAAGGACGAAACCCAAGGATGTCCTCTAGCCTCCACCCATATGCCCACATTGTGCACCCTCCCACACACATATATGCAGACACTCACATGCAAAGTACATAAGTCAAGATCTTTGAAGAGATCTTGATCCCTACTGGCTCCCTTATATATAGCCATTTCTCTGAGCTCAAAGTCACTGTTTTGGAGGCATTTCTAGCAGTGAAAGTATAATTGTAGCTCTGCGGTATACAAAACAGCTTCTGGTTTTGTAAAGGGGTACCACAATTTAGCTCCAATTTTCAGGTCATATGAAATTCCAAGGGGATTAGGATGTATTAAAAGGTTTCAGTGACAGGGCTAGAGAGACAGCTCAATGGTTAATAGCATCTGTTCTTACAGAGGACCTAGGTTTGATCCCCACAAACATCTGCAACTCCAGTTTCAGGGGTTTTGACTCCCTCTTCTGGCCCCATGGGCACTGATCATGTGGGACAAAGACACATACATTCAGGTAAAACACTCACATTAAGTAAACATTCAGGAAAGAAAAGCAACAATGTAGGATTTGAATAGTTAAGGTTTATAATCATTTCTATTGGTGTCGTTTATTGGCTTTACATACACATACACACCTACACATCACGTACACATGGACTGTAGCATGAAACTGCAATTGTGATATTCCAGGAGCTAGCAAATATTTTCTATGAAAGGCCAGACAGTAGGACTGGGGAAACAGCATGGCTAATAAAGTACAGACTCATTTCTTTGGGGGAAATTTTCATTTTTAAAAGCCAAAACCTATTTCTGGGAAACACTAGCTATACACCTCAGTTAATATTGTTGTATAAAGCAGTGTTTCAGTAAGTTGCCTTAATAAATAAGTATCCTATTTATAAGTTAAAGTTAGCTAGAATTTGAAAACATGTAAGAATATTAAAAGTTTAATACAATATTTGATACGTTTAAAAAAAGATGTGACCTTAAAGCATATTTCTTCCGGCAGAAGGGGCACCTCACCTTGGAGCTTTTAGGCACATTTCAAAACTTTAAACAATCCCTTTAAAGGCGACAGGCGCTTCGGAAGGGACGCCATCATACTTCACTGCTGCAGTGGGTATTTGTCTTCACACACTAATGAACTGAAACTATCAGCCTTTGTCGGAACTGGCCAGAGGAACAGCTTTAATCCGTGGGAACCAGGCCTGCCATTCCAGCTCGTAATGCTTGACCTCTCAGCCCTATGAACATTCTGGAGCCCAGCCTCCATCTTCAAGGTTACATTTGAGTATTTAAATATGAATCCGATCACATCTCTAAACTTTAGAAATGATAACATCATTTTTCCAGTGTTTGAGGTATTTATTTGTTTTGGGGGTGAGTGTTCTATTTTTAGTTTGTGAACTACCCTCACCTTCAATGCAGTCACAGTATTGTTTTCTTCTTTTTCTTTTTCTCTGCATTTCTAGATTTCTAGATGCTCCTCTCAGAACTTCACAGTCTTCATGTTTTTAATTTTTGAAACTGGGTCACATTTACCCATAGATGTCATATAAAAGGACAGATAAACAAACAACACAGACAGATAATTTTTATTATAAGCAGACTTCCCTCTAAGAAGTTGTTTTAAACTTAATCCTGAGATTTGTATCTCTTTCAACTATGCTATAAAATAATAAGACAAAAATGAATATCTTTTAACCACAGAGGATGAAGTTACTGGTATACTTAAATGGAATTTAAGCTAAGCTTTTTCTTAGATACCTAACTATATTTTTAAAAACTTAAAAATAATGGTGAGTGTCCTAGTAAGACTGAATATGTACAAATATAAAAATAGCATTTTTTTTTTTTAAAGAACAGGATGAGATCTTTATCTAACACCACTTGTAAAAATTTACTCAGGAGCTGTGGAATGGCTCAGTTGTTAATATTTGCTGCTCTTGCAAAGGACTAAAGTTTGGTCCCCAGCACCTACACAGAGGCTCACAGCTGCTTCTAACTCTGGCTGTAGGGATCAGAGGCCCTTTCTGACCACCCTGGGCACTTCTATGCACATGATGTGTGTGTATATACACACACACACACACACACACACTCATGCAAACCCTCACATATAAACTAAAAAGTAAGTCATTTCTGCTGTGAGATGATTTTTTTTTTTAATTGAGCTTTTTTGTTTCTTCTAAACTAGATGGACAACCCACTGTAACACTGTTGTTGTCATATGGGATTTCATGAGGGTGGTGGCCACCACACCATTGCCTGAAAACTGTGCAGGAGTACCCAGTATCTCCTTCATAGTTCTGGAAAGTTCTCTGGCTGAAAACCAGTGCTGCATCTGTTGGGCAATGCTGAAATTCTTATTAAAAGTGCTATTTCCACTGTGTTTAATGTCTTTCTGTTTTGGTCTCTTGGTGGCCTGTGATGATCAGGGTGGAGGCAGAAGGGACCACCTCATCTGGGCCTGTGTGTCCTGAAAGCAGTGTACATACAAACTGTGGTGGTCTGAATAGGAACAATGATTTCCATAGACTCGGGTGTCTGAATGCTTAGTCTGCAGGGAGTGACACTATTAGGAGGTGTGGCCTTGCTGGACAGAGTATGTCACTGGGAGTGGGTTTTGAGGTTTCAAATGCTCAAGTCAGGTACAGTGTCTCTTCTTTTTTCTTGTTTCCTAATGATCTGCATGTAGAACTCTCAGCTCCTTCTCCAGCCCGTCTACCTGCATGCCGCCATGATTCCAGCCATGATGATAATGGACTGAACCTCTGAACCTGTAAGCCAGGCCCAATTAAATGTTTTCCTTATAAGGGCTGCCATCGCCAGTGTCATGGTCTCTTCATGGCAATAAAAAAAAATAATTAATTTGCTTGTGCACCCCCCCACACCTTTAAACATTACTCAAAATGGACTAAAGAACTACACATGCGAGCTAAAAGTATGAAGTTCTGGCAGAACACACACACACACACACACACACACACACACACACACACACACACGGCCATGATTTCCTGCACACCAGAAACACAGGCAGTCAGCAACAACAACAAAAGTCACAAACTCCTTGAAAATTGTAAACATTATGGCTGTGCACACAAGAGCCTGGCAAACTCTGCTGCTTGTGAGGCTCAGTAGCAGTCTGGGTAATTTAACAAGGCCAAGTATCAAAGTGTAAAACCCGTATCAGGATGGGGATAGGATTCAGTGGGAGTTGGTCCAGCATGTACCAGCCTGGAGTGGGTGGGTGCTTTCTAGGCCCCACCCCTTGCCGAGCTCTAGGCGGTGGTCAGGAACAACCCCTGCAGATGCGACCAGTAGTAGCAGTCTCACGCATGCTCGTCCCACGCCCATGCACGTACACACTTGGTTATTTTTTAAAAAGAGGCCAAACTGGGGTGGCTTCTTTCTTTTTTTTTCTGCCCGGCGTGCTCGCCGCTGTTATCAGCTCAGCACCCTAAAAAGACTGTGGCTTCCGTCACTGCTAAATAGCTCGACGCACAATGACCACTACCAAAGCCACAAGCGGAGAAAAGTGCAAAGGGACTAAGGGAGGCCGCCCTGCAGAACCGCCTGCCGTGGGCACAGACCACACCTCTTCCGCCAGAGGCCCTCGGCCGGGCCGTGCGCATGAGCAATTCAAAGCAGCGCGGGAAGCCTCGCGCAGGCGCGATTGGTGTCTTGGCTGGGCGGGCGCTCCCTCCCTGCGGCTGCCTGTGTGGGGGCCCTAACCTTCGTCAACCGTGAGTTTCTGACAGTTTGCTCCTGCACAGCTCTGGCCTGTGAGGGGTCGGGAGCGTGGTGGCCCTGCGAGCATCCCGCGTCTGGGCTTTAACGTGGGGGCCCCGCGGCGGGAAGGGGTGCGCTTGCGCACTGAGCTTCCCGTTGGTGTGGGCTGCTCGCCCTCGGCGCTCGCTGGGGGCGGATGCGCTCCGCCGGGCCTGCTCGGTTGGCTCGCAGCCGCCCTTCGCCCGTCGGTTTGTGCGGGGCCGTGGGCCAGCCTCCCGGTGAGCGGTTTCCTCCCGGGTCTTCTGGGGTCAAACCGCCATCCCTCCCCCACAGCCACGGGCGGGCGGGTCCCCAAGCTCGCACCCCAGCGCGCAGGAGTCCCCGCTCAGCCCCCTGCTAGGCATGCTCCTTGGCTGGTGTTTGCACCTACGTGTGGTTTTTAATGCTGGTTCCCGCGAGGGCAGGTGGTGGTCACTGAGTGGCTTCTCCTTTTCTCACTGTTCTGGTCTTCACAGTGCAGCCCTCCCCTGTGGACATGACTCCGTAGCCTCACTGGGTGCTCACATGGAGGAGCCAATGGAACTTTCCCCCCTGCGTGGCGGTGACAGGGGTCCCGCCGACGACTCGTTAAAAAAATATGAGCAGAGTGTTAAACTTTCAGGTATGTGTGTGTGTCTGATACCCCACTCCTACAGTTGCGAAGATGCCCGGGCAGCCTGCTGCTACACCGCAAAAAAGTAGGATGAAAGAGAAGGGAGAACTGTGATTAAATTACAATCTCAGGAATAAAAGAAAGAAAGAAAACCCACAGACACCTGACTCATCCTGAGTTGTATGTTTACGTTGGATTTCGCGTGACCATGTAGAGCCATAAAATCTAGACAGTATTGGGTTACATTTTAAGAGGATTGGGATCCAACTTTGTCCTTTTAGATGAAGTTGATTAGGTCCAGATATTAGTGGCTTTCTAGGAAAACATGTTTTTTGTTTTTCTGAACAGTTTCTTTGTAGCTTTGGAGGCTGTCCTAGAACTAGCTCAGTAGAACAGACTGACCTCGAACTCACAGAGATGCTTCCTGAGTGCTGGGATTAAAGGCATGTACCACCACCGCCCGTGGGAAACATGTTTGTTGATGCCTAAACTGTACAAACCCCGCTGTTTTCTTCCCTCAGAAAGCTAGGTCTTAGAAATTGACAGGGTAGGGAGGGATCTTAAGTGTTCAGAAGCAGAGCACAGACAGAAATGAATGGGATGATTTGTAGCGCTGGTATTGTAACAACCACTTCCCACTATTCAAAATGCAGATTGAAAATATGGGATCTTACAAACTAAAATGTGCCCCTTCAGCTGGGTGTGGTGGTTCACATCCATAAACTCAGGTGGAGGTGGGCTCCTACAGATCAAGCCTGCCTGGCCTACTTGAGACCCTGTCTCAACCCCTCCCCCAGAAACTTTGTGCCCAGTGCCAGTGTGTTAGTGTTCATTTAACATATGTGTTTTTAAACAAAAGTTGCCTATTCTTTCCTAAAAGCTAGCCATCATCTTTGTCTTGAGAAAATTTAGGCTTGTCCAAAAAGATACTAATTTTGATTTTAATTTGTGAGGTGCACTTTATTTGTTGTCTAAGTGTTCTGGTTTTTTTGTTTGTTTGTTTGTTTTGGAATGATCAAAGAAAGAAGGTCACTCCAGATGAATTTCAGGCTCTGTCAAAGCAGGAACAGTTTCTATGAACTGAACCCCTGAACAGCTTTGCAAAGGCACAAAGTCATATTTACTGATTGTTAGGGAAAAGGTTTTTTCGTTGTTGGGGGGAGGGGGCAAGTGACTCACACCAAAAACCTGATCTAATCTATATGTTTTCTGAAGGAAAACATCACACCCTTGCAACTTTAGTCCTTGCTTTGTACTGTTCATAGTACTCAACAATACAGGATGCTCCTGGTGTACTGGGACCACACTGTGACCAAAGTCATGAAAAGACCGTAAAAGTTCCCTCAGAAAAACACTCTATGGATAACAGAAAACAATCAACTGTTTCCCATAATGATTTCTTCAAGGTCTAAGTACAGTTCATTCTGCCGTTTATCCCAGATACAGTGACTCTACTAATTTTTCCTCTACAATTTGTATATTCCCAGAAGCTTTAACATCACATATTTTTGGTTTCTTGACTAAAAGTAAACTTCTTTATTGTCACAATGAGTACCTTCCTCAGTGTTCCTCTTTATGGCAAAATTTGAGATGCATCTTCCATTCCTGTTGAAGTACCATGAACTTCCTTAAACTAAGCTGTCTGCTTTCTCTTTAGATTTCCCATCCATTTTATAGGCTTTACATTAATCTTAAAACACTGTTACCTAGTTTCCCCTGTCCTGTATTTATTTTCAAAATAACCTGTTTTTCAGTCTGTTTTTTTTTTTGTTTTGTTTTTTTTAATTAATAAGTACAGATACAATGCAGCAACATAGTCATATTCTTGTATAATTTAGCACTCAGTATTCAGTGTGACCTTTCGTCCACATTGTTCATTCATCTGGTTCTGGAATTATTTTCCGAGGAATGTTCCATTGCTAATATCTTGAAAATCTGATGAATTAAGCGGGGGTGATTTTTATTTCCTGACTCAAAAGTTGTAGCTGTTATGTACCCCAACATAGGACATTACAAGTAATACCCTTGATAACTTATAAAACATTTATTCATGGGGTTCTTTAATAAAAGCCAAACTATCAGAAAAACCATTTTAGTAAATACTGATGGGGTCCAGATATAAGTTGATGAAGTCATGTGCCTGGGCCTTACTTTAACTCCTTTTTGTTTGGTGGGGGTTTTAGGACCTTCTTGTCTGTCTTTGCATATGGAGAACCAAAGGATCCAGCACACAGGAGGGGCTTGATAGTATGAAATAGCTAAGTATTCAGTGCAGCAAATGAACAGCACTTTGTTTAGTAGTATTTTTGAATTTTTGTAATACAACAAATTATTCTTGCTTATTAAAGAAAATTTAGGGAAATTAGAAAACCAAAGTACAATGTTTCCATGCTCTACAGTGGGTACAGGACACCGAAGTGCATGCTTTTACAATGGTTACAGTTACCGTGACACAGTTGACATTTCTTGTCACAAAATCATTACTAATGTCTTCTTTTTATTCTTCAAAGATTTCCAGCTTGTATGAAATTATATGATCCCCTAATATGGGAAGTTAAGTCAGTATACAAAATCCCAAATGACATACTCTATACTGTTACTCCATGGTAAGATTGAAAACATACCTGAGTGATGGATGCTTACTCAGTATCCGTTATATGCAGGCACTTTTGTAGATGTTAGAGATAAGTCAGTGATTAAAACACTAATTAATGTTCTCAAGCTAACTATAGCTAGAAGTGTGGGTGCAGCCTTTCATGTACTTGGGATGCAGAGTCAGGAGGATGTCTGTGTTTGAGGCCAGCCTTGTCTACATAACAAACTCTGGAACAGTCAGAACCGCAGAGACCCTGTGTCAACACTCCCTCCCCGCAATGTAACTATAATAGTAAGAATGATCATAGTCATGCATTGAGCATTTACTGTGTGACAAGCTTTGTATGAAGTGTGTATACGCATTTATTTTAATCCTCTAAATACCCAAATGACATGAACACTATTACAACCTTGATTTTCTTCTGTAGATGATAAAACAACAGCTGATGATGTAGTTCAGTGGTAGAGCACTTTACTAGTGTGCAAAAGGTTTGGTCCTAAACACTGCAGTTATAATGATGATAATAGAGATGTAGATGGAGATGAACTCTGCTCCAGACAGACATGACAGGATGGTATTCAGTGGATCCAAGGTCCCACTCTAGGTTCCCCATCTCCAATGTCATGTTATGTCGCCTCTTGTATTGAAATTGTGTGGGATCTCCACGCTTGCGATACAGAGGAGAAAGTGAGGGCAGCTTAAGTAAGTTGTTGCTTTTAAGTGGCTCATTGTAGGAGAAAGCACTGCACTGGGTCTTCTTGGACTCTTTCATCTCTGACTCTTGGCACCCCTCCTCTTCTGATCTGTCTTCTACTTTCATTTTTTTTCTTTAACTTTCTATAGCATTTCCGACCACATAATTCCTTCTTCCTAAAACATCCTTTCTCATTTTTCCACATTAGAACACAACCTATCTAGGCCAGGCAGTGGTGGCACATGCCTTTGATCCCAGCACTCAGGAGGCAAGGGCAGGTGGATCTCTGTGAGTTCGAGGCCAGCCTGGTCTACAGAGCGAGTTCCAGGACAGTCAGGGCTACACAGAGAAACCCGGTCTTGGGAAACAAACAAAGATGTTGGGGACCATCCCTATCCTCACTACCTCAGGCCTCTGAGATAGAAAATTACTGCCTCTTAAGAAGTAAGCAGAATGTTTAGCAGAGCATTCCTAGATACAGGCTTGTTGTTTTACAACCAGTTAAACAGTAGTTCAGGGCATTCCTTCTACTGACCCTTTCATCCTGCCCACTTGCAAACCCCCACTCACGTCCTTCCCATGGTCCTATTATAAGCCTCCCCTGAGAAAATAAAGTTTGACAGCTTGATCAGAATATGGACTTGCTGTCATTCTTCTTGTCCCTTACCCTTCGCCCCGCAGGTCGGGGCACAAAAAAAGAATAATAATGCTGTCTCTTCTACAAGACTAAAATTCTTGGAGGTGCCCAGCTGTACCAGTTTGTTCGTTTTAAAAGTTTACTCATTGCCAAACATTTTTAAAGGGTGTGATTATGAGTGAGTCTTTGTAAGCATCGGTGGTAATCTCTGACGCTGAGAAAGTGATATAACCTAGCTGACTAGGTTTCTATATTTGATTTTACACAGGGTCTCACTCTTTACAGCCTAGCCAGCTGCCTCAAACTTGCTATGTAGACCAGACTGCCCTTGAACTCATGGAGATGCCTGTCTCTCCTCTGCCTCCCGAGTGCTGGGATTAATGATGTATGCCACCATGCCTGGCATGATATTCGTTCTTATTGTGCCAGCATCATAGGGCTTTTACGTAGATTTGAGGGCCAAGCAATGGCATGTGCCTGGAGTACCAGCATTCAGGAAAAAAGGAGGAGGATTGCAGGCTTGAGACCAGCCTAACCTGCATGCATAGCAAGACTGTCAGAAACCAAGTGCTACAGGACAGCACCACTTGCTTGTGTGAGCCCTGAGTTCTGGCCACACCACTGCAGGGAGAAAACCATCCTCGAAAGTAGTGCACGTGAGAGCTCTTGGAGCATAATTATGAGAAACCAGCCCGTGCTTGGCTTCAATTCTACAACAGAATATAATTTTAGATTCTTACTTGTATCTCTTTTGTGTCAGTAGTTTATTAGATTATGTCACTGCTTCTACCTGCTTTAGCTGTGTATACTGTTGTATTTAGTTAAAATTAGCAGTTTTTCTGGGGTCAAAAACAGGATGCTGTTAACTTCGGGTACACATTAAATGAGTTCATCCTCCACCCCACTCCCCTATTAGAGACCCTTAGAAGACTGTCTTTCTAAGGACCAACAAATCCTTCTGTGTCTTAACACTTTCCCAGCCTGTAAGATTTTGTGTCTGATAAAGGAAATCGTTTTCTAGATTATTGCATTGTGCCCCTGTTATGCCATCTAGTGATCACATCACATATCGTGTATTGATTTTTTAGTTTTGAGACAGTCTGTCCTTGAAATCTTAACCCTCTTTTTCCATGCCCTAGGCTCTGGAAGTAACAGCATGTACTAGCACACCCCTCTCCTGGGGCTCAGGTGATCTTCCTGCCTTAGTGTCCTTAGTAGCTGGACTACTGTGTTCATCTCTTGCCCAGCTTCAGGTCTTATTTTGCTGTAAACTTAGCATTTTCATACTGGCAGCGTGTCTCCTAGTGTGTAGCCCCAATACAGTAGAACTTTGCTTTGCTTTAATTTTGGGACTATCTTTTTATTTTTCCTGCTAGTTAACATTTTACAACTTGCAACTTTTTGGAAACTCTGTGGGGTTTCAATGTTTATCATTTTGTTGTGAATTTCTTGGTTTAAAATGTATTTCACTGATTTATCTGTTTGTGTGTGGGGGGTTCTGGACACAGTGATTTATCTTTTAACCTAAGAAATTATAAGCTGAGCAATGATGGGAAATTCCCGTAATGGTACCTGAGAGACAGTGGTGGGAAAACACAAGCCTTGGCCAGAGCTTGGGCTGTAATAAAACCCTGTCCAAGCCTGGTGGTGGTGGTGCATGCCTTTAATCCCAGTACTCTAAGTTCCAGGCCAGCTAGAGTTGTTACACAGAGAAACCCTGTCTTGGGGATTAAGGGGGACTGCCCTGTCCCAAACAAATGTGAATAACAACAAAAACCTTAAGTACCTCTCTTTGATTCTAACTGTAAATTCTTAATTCTTTCATAGGCATTAAAAGAGACATTGAGAAGCTTTGTGAAGCTGTACCTCAGCTTGTCAATGTGTTCAAAATTAAGGACAAAATTGGAGAAGGTAATTTAAGGGTATGTTTTACTATTGTTAAACTGATGGTAATGTTAGTAACTATGGTAACAGATTTTTTTTTTTGCCCCTCTTGGGAAGAATGAAAAGTAATAAATATTTAGAATAAAACCAACAGTCATAACTTAACCTAATATCCCATTAAGACATTTACTAATGTCTTAAAGCACTGTTTATCTGACGCTTTTAAAGCCTATACTGAAAAGTGTACTAAATTGCTTCTTAGGCACCTTCAGCTCTGTTTATTTGGCCACGGCACAGCTACAAGTAGGACATGAAGAGAAGATTGCACTGAAACACTTAATCCCAGCAAGCCACCCTGTAAGAATCGCAGCAGAGCTCCAGTGCCTGACAGTTGCGGGGTAAGCAGCTTGCAGCTGAACTGGCTACGTGTGGTTTATAATTTATGCAGTAGTCTAATAGGAATGATGAAGTTATACCTGAATTAAAAGTTTGCAGTCACCTGCTTGCTCTTGGCTAGTGCTTTGTCCCATACCTTGCGATGGTTAAATTTCCATTAATCCCTTCAGAGGAGATTTCTCTTGAGGTACAGCATGGCTTCTGTTCTTATTTCTTATCTATTTGTAACCTAGTCAGCCTTTGCTTATGGTCTGGGCTTGTTCTTAGTGGGCTTGTTCTTAATTACATGTGCCATTTTTAACTGCACACTTCTCTTTGACTACACACTTAGTTGTTGCTCTCTTTGTTGAACATAATTGCCTTTTTTAATAGACGTAAAATAATTGCACATCTATAGAATATGATGTAATGGTGTATACATGCAAATAATGTATAATGATCAAATCAGGCCCAATAATATGTCTATTTCCTTAAAGATTTATCTTTTTTGTGTGTGTGTTTCAAGCCTTCAGATGAAATGTGTAAATTGCTCTAAACTATAGTGACCCTACTGTACAGCAGAACACTAGGCCTATTACTGTTAGCCAGATGTATTTTGGTAACCGTTATCCAACCTCGTTGTATGCCTGCCCACTAACCTTACCCTCTAGTGATCCTATTTTATTTCCTACTCTATGAGATCCACTTTATTGGCTTCCATATATGAATAAGATAATGTGATAATATGTCTTCCTGTGTGTTGCACCCATACCTAGATATGCACATATACCCCTAAATTTTAACCTGTCTTGCCTAGCCAGAAAATAATCAGTCTTAACAAATATTCTCAACTGCCTCAGTTGCTCATCTTCTCAGTTGTTCAAGCCAGACATGTAGATACCATCCTCATCTTCTTGTTACTCCTAACTAATGTCATCCAAATCTGGTGTGCCTATATTTCCAACAGTGCCAAGGCAGAGGATCTCTGAGTTTCTAGCCAGACCAAACTACAATGTGAGATCTGGGGCCCCCAAAAAAGTCTCTTCTGCAAGTGTGTTCCTCGGTCCCTTGTTTGGCTTCCCGCTGTGAAAGATGGGGTGGTTAGTGTGTGGTCATTGGTTTTAGATGCTACCTCCTTCAGTTTTCCTGCTTCATCAATAACTGTTCTCACCTTCCCTCTAAAGCCCCATCTTGTACAAAGAAGTCTAGCATAGTGAATAGGAGTATATATCTGGAGAAAATGATTTAACTCCTTTTGTGACTTTGGGGATGTTCTCCTTACCTCGTTCCCTCGTTTGTAAAAAGGGAGGATAACCTTTTCCATGAGGGTATTGTGAGGCTGAGGTTTGGTGTTTTGTTTTTTAACTCAAAATTTTTCATACAGTGTATTCTGAGCATGTTTCCTCTTCCCCCAATTCCTTCTAGAACCTCCCCATCTACCCAACTCCACACCCTTTCTCTCTACAGAAAGCAAATAAACAAAGAATAGACTAAGGCCAGGTGTGGTGGTGTACACCTTTAATTCAGAAGGTGGGAGGCAGAGGCAGGAGGATCTCTGAATGAATGGATGAAATGAAATGAGAAAGAAAAGAAAAAACACAAGAAACACGCATAACCCAACAAAACCACAAAAACACAAACTCAGAAACCATAATATATAGGCAAAAGACCAGTAAGACTCCCCAAAAGAAAAGGCCCAAACAAAACAACATGAGACAAAACATCTACAAAAATGTATTTTTTCTTTTCTGTTGGCCATCTGCTGGGCATGGAACCTTCCTTTAAGCATGGTTAAGTTTTCCTTGCAAAGGGGTTATCAATTGCAGATAGCTTCTTGGTTGGGGTGAGAACCTGTGTCTTACCTCCTTGTCCCCCACAGCTCTGGGACCCGTCTGGCTTGAACCTGTGCAGGCCTTGTGTGTGCAGCCAGTTCTGTGAGTTTACACATGCTTCAGTCTGTTGTGTCTGGAAGACACTGCCTTGGGGTCATCCATCCCCTCTGGCTCTTGAGGTCTTTTTGCTTCCTCTTGTGTCTGGTTCCCTGGGCCCTGGCAGGAAAGGTTTGATGAAGGCATCCCACTGGGACTGAGCGTTTCAGAATCTCTTAAGACTGAGTTTATTATAGGTCAGAGCTTTGGAGTCAATGAATGTTACTTATTTTTAAAACCTATTGCTAGTAATATCTGCTAATAATCTGTCATTTGCCACTAACCCAGTTAAAACTGTAGATATATCAGGTTTAGATTGTAACCTTCTGTAACTGACACTGATTTTTGTTTGAAAATTTTATCTTTTTTTTAATGTCAGTTAAATACTTATATTCACTAATGTTCTAGTACATATGTTTTGCCAAATAATAATTATTTTTGTTTGTTTGTTTGTTTGTTTTTCAAGACAGGGCTTCCTTAGCTTTGAAGACTGTCCTGGAACTAGCTCTTGTAGACCAGGCTGGCCTCAAAATCACAGAGATCCTCCTGTCTCTGCCTCCCAAGTGCTGGGACTAAAGGCATGTGCCACCACCTCTTAGCAATAATTCATTTCTTAAAGGCATAAAGTGACAGTGCATCTGACCTTCCCTCTAAAGTTAGTTCACTGTGTATTTCCCACCAGGGGCCAAGACAATGTCATGGGAGTTAAGTACTGCTTCCGGAAGAATGATCATGTGGTTATTGCCATGCCATATCTGGAACATGAGTCGTTTTTGGTAGGTTTTTAAATAGTTTTATAGCTTTAGCTGAATGTTTAGTTGAAATAGCTTTGTGACTTCATTCATAACTTTATTTTAGGACATTTTGAATTCTCTTTCCTTCCAAGAAGTACGGGAGTATATGTTTAATCTCTTCATAGCTTTGAAACGGATTCATCAGTTTGGTATTGTTCACCGTGATGTGAAGCCCAGCAATTTTTTATACAACAGACGCCTGAAAAAGTAAGTAGGAAGAATCCCAGAAAACATTTACAGTTGAATTTGCATTGTAAACCACGATGTTCACATGGTTTCTATTCAAGTTTTTATAGTGACTGGGGAGAGATGAGGAAAATGCACAATGTACATCATGAGCTGTGCACTTAGATGAAAGAAACTTAGAATCTAGCCCATTTTGACCATAAAGCCCTTGTTTCTGTGCTTCATATTTTCATCTTAGTAAGCAGGAACACTGGACAACATAGCTTTCTTTTTTAACACCAAAGTTACACGATGAAGAGATGTTACAAGCTGAAAATTATATATCATACTTAGTATAAGAAAATTAAGACTAATTCTGTAGCCCTTGTTTTTCTTTGGTTTCTTTATACTTGTTTCATTAGAAATTAGCTATTGTGATGTCCCCTTCCCACTACTGAATGGCCAAGGATTTTGCATTCTGTTTCTCTTCATCCCCCTTCTTCCTTGTCTCTACACAGGCCATAAGTAGAAAGAGAGTGCCTAATTGACCCATCAGTTTAAGGATTCATCTTTCTCTGATTTTCAGTCTTAGTTATTAAGTTCTTTTCTTTCTCCCTTTTTTTCTAGGTTTTATAAATCTTTTAAGAATTATTTATTCACCTTTATTTTATGTACATTGGTGTGAATGTGTCATATCCTCTGGAACTGGAATTAGACAGTTGTGAACTGCTATGTGGGTGCTGGGAATTGAACCCAGGTCTTCTGAAAGAGCAGCCAGTGCTCCTAACTGCTGAGCCATCTTTCTAGCCCATTATAAATTCTTTGGTTTTTTTGTTTGTTTGTTTGTTTTGTTTTTTCCTCCAGACAGAGTTTCTCTGTATGTCCTAGAACTAGCTCTGTAGACCAGGCTGGCCTTGAACTCACAGAGAGATCCACCTGCCTCTGCCTCCCAAGTACTGGGGTTAAAGGTGTGCACCACCAACGACCTGGCTTCCATTATAAATTCTTAATTATTCTGGAATGAATTACAGTTTCTGAGTGTGGTTTGAGAGCATTACACCATTACTCAGATTTAAGTGTTATAGGAGCCTGATAGTACTTAATCTTGCTTCTTAGGTATGCCTTGGTGGACTTTGGTTTGGCCCAGGGAACCCCTGACACAAAAATAGAACTTCTCAAGTTTGTCCAGTCTGAGGCTCATCAGGAAGATTGCCCACGAAGCAAGCACCACGGAGTCACTGGACAAAAAGGCTCACTAAGTCGCCCAGCACCCAAAACACTGGATCAGCAGTATGCTGCAAAAACGTCTGTCAAAAGATCCTACGCCAATGCACAAGTTCACATTAAGCAAGGAAAAGATGGAAAGGTTCTGCCTTATATATTTTCAGTTTCAAACGTTTAGGCATGTTTTCCATCAACCAACAGGGGGAAATAGAATGCTAGGGTAGTACTTGTGCCTAAAAGACTTGATAAATTATTATGTGATAATAGTATTGTATGACAAAACAGGAAAATTCCCTATATATTACAAAATTAAGATGTCCTTCTATTTAAAAAGCATTATAGGGAAAATTCTGAAGTGTTTGTCTCCATTTTAGCTGCATAGGCTTTAGAGACTTGGGTGTTGTGTGTGTGTGTGTGTGTGTGTGTGTGTGTGTGTGAACTGTGGCAACATTGTATGGACTGGTGATACTATATGGATTGTGGCAACCGTTATGCATGGACTGTGGTAACGCTGTGCATGGATGGACTGGTGACACTGAACTGTGGTAACATTGTATGAACTGTGGTCATACTGTGGACTGTGGTAACATTGTGTGGACTGTGGTGACACTGAACTGTGGTCATACTGTGGACTGCGGTAACATTGTGTGGACTGTGGTAACACTGCATGGATGGACTGTGGTGACACTGAACTGTGGTAACATTGTGTGAACTGTGGTCATACTGTGGACTGCGGGAACATTGTGTGGACTGTGGTAACACTGTGCATGGATGGACTGTGGTAACACTGGACTATGGTGACACTGGACTTTGGTAACACTGTGTGGACTGTGGTGACACTGGACTGGTGACACTGTGTGGATTGTGGTAACATTGTGTGGACTGTGGTGACACTGTATGGATTGTGGTGACACTGGACTATGGTCACACTGAACTGTAGTCACACTGCGTGTGGACGGTGATAACACTGTAGACTGGTGACACTGGACTGTGGTAACATTGTGTGGACGGTGGTCACACTGTGGACTGTGGTAACATTGTGTGGACTGTGGTGACACTGGACTGTGGTAACATTGTGTGGACTGATGACACTGTGTGGACTATGGTCACACTGAACTGTGGTCACACTGCGTGTGGACAGTGGTCACACTATAGACTGTGGTCACTGTGGACAGTGGTCACACTGTATGAACTGTGGTCACACTGGGCAGTTGTGACACTGCGTGTGGATGGTGGTCACACCGGATTATGGTCACACTGTGTGGACTGTGTGGGTGTTGCAATGTTACAAGTTGCCTAGACTATTTTCTCCTTTCACATAGTGTTTTGGTTCCTGAGAATGTCTTGGGTGCAGCTGTTTTTGTTTTATGTCACTTAACTCTTTCAAAACTATAGCAGAGTACAGCTGGCAGAAAGTGTTACAGATGTAACCCTTATTTTCCTTGTTTTTGTTGGTATTGTAGGAGGGATCTGTAGGCCTTTCTGTCCAGCGCTCTGTTTTTGGAGAAAGAAATTTCAATATACACAGCTCCATTTCACATGAGAGCCCTGCAGAGAAAGTAAGTAATGTAGCTTTGTAGCTCACCCGTCCATCAGCCTCATGCTGACAAGCTCAGGGAATCCTCTGGAATTAGTGCTAGAGCATGGGGTAGAGTTTAGCTTTGGCAGAAGGTAGTTTTACTCAATATTCAATCATCTATATATTTTTTTTTTTCCTGAACTTTTTTTGTGGAGTTTTTAATTCTGATTAGTTGTTGCTTTTCTGGACCGTTCAGAACAGGGCTAGATTTCTCCTAAATTCTCCCCACATGGTAGAGTAAATATACCTGTAAAGTTCCTTCAGGTTAGATGGTTTTAAATTGTGCCAGCAAGGGCTCGAATTACAGACTGACCTAGTATAACTGAGGGTTACAGTTGTGAAATGGAGTTAGGCTTTAGTAATCAGTAATGCTTAGTACTGTTAGAGTGCTTCTCTAGTGTCAGGGAAATCCTGATAAAGTCAAATATCTGCCAAGCTAATTAGTAAATTTTAATGGTATTAGACAGAAAGCCAAACTTTTTTGTGGAGACAGGTTGGCATCGAACTTGGAATCCTCCTGCCTCAACCTCCCCTAGTTCAGCAATTACTAACATGTCTGACTGTGCCTAGTACCCTTAAAACATTTTACTAGACAACTATTGAATTGTAGTCTGTAGTATCTCCTTCAGCAGTTTTGAATGAAGTTTCTAATTCTGAAACTGCTTTTGCCAGCATTTGAAGGCATTATGGTAAATGACACAAAAATAGAAAGTACAACTTTTTTTTTTCTTTTTTTGTAGCTCATAAAGCAATCAAGGACTGTGGACATAATCTCAAGAAAGCCAGCAACAAAAAAGACAACTGTATCTACAAAAGCTGTGGCTAGTGTGATGAGGAAAACCACCAGTCCCTGCCCGGTTGTTCTGACCTGCGACTGTTATGGAACAGATAGAGTCTGCAGCATTTGCCTGTCAAGGTGAGGTGTTTCCAAGAGTCACCGCATGCCACCAGACATGATTAGAATAGGAAGCAACTGGTGGAATATTGGTTTTGTGAGTGAAAGGAAGTAAACATAGGCCAGGCACACAGCGACACATTGGCCAATTAACAGTTGTCATATATTCCTTTGATGAAACTTTCTCTGAAAAACACATTTGCTCTCTCATGCAACTAAGGGTGGGTGGAGGGAACCCTTGGAGACATTTCTTGTACAAGCCATTGTTTCTTCTACTTCTGCCTGTGTTGAATAACAAGGGCCAAATAATGCTTCCTACTCTTCTCTACCTTGGAAGTTTTTCCTTTAGATTTGGTTTTTATAGATTCTTCCTGATTAACTTAAATCTACACAAGTGAGTATATCAGTAACTCAAGATCCCCAACTAAAAGAATTTTTGTATAAATTCCTGTTGTGTTCTGTTTTTCTATTACAATTTTTATTATCTGCCATCTGTTTTTATACTTGGAAATTGTGTTAAAAATCTGTCTGGGATAAGGCCAGGGTGTTGGGGTTAGTGGGGAAAAATGAAAGTAAATAGAAAATATCACAATCAGTTTTCAGTACCTATAACAAATTTATTTATATTGACACCAGGACAGATTTTTATGTGAACTAAATTGATTGCTTATTTTTTTTGGACTTAACATAGTTCAACATTTTTGTGGGTTATTTTTTTGTTCTGTTTTGGTTTGGGGTTTTTTTTTTTTTTTTTTTTTTTTGCTTTGTTTTTGGTTAGTTGTTGAGACAGTGTCTCTCTAGGTAGCCCTTGCTGTCCTGGAGCTCTCTGTGTAGACCACTCTAGCTTCTATCTCCCAAGCTAGGATGGGTTAAAGGCATACACCACCATACCCCGCCAATAGTTCAGTTTTAATGTAACTAGATGTCTTATGTCTTCCTCATAAGGCGGCAGCAGGTTGCCCCTCGGGCAGGCACACCAGGATTCAGAGCACCAGAGGTCCTGACAAAGTGTCCTAACCAAACCACAGGTACGTAGCACAAGAAGTACGACTACCTGTTCCCATCATAGTTAAGATACACATGATCTTCATTACAAAATGACTTGTGAATATGGTGATAAAACTTTATAGGGTATCCAGGGACATCTGTTCTTACCCAAAGGGGTTATGAAAGGAAGTTCATAAAGAAGATGGCCTTAAGGAAATATTATAGAGTTGGAGATTGGCATTGATCACAACCTAAGAAACTCAGGAAACAGCATAATCTAGCTGTAGAGGAAACCATAAGTTTAGTGTTGCTTAATGTAAATGGAGATCAAGAGAAGATTGAAAGTATGCTGGGAAGATACAGGTTACACTTGTTCAACCGCTTGGACTATGGACCATAGATGCCATGCAGGGATAGACAGTAAGGGTTGTATTCGAGGTCATTGCAGGTGTGCAAAGAGCAGATTCTTTAGGTCAGTACCCAGGTAGTCCAGGTGAAAGGTAAGGAATATATGAGTGATCGCAGTGCTGACGGGAATGAAAAGAGAAACAACTAAGGAACTGGCAAGCATGGCTTAGTAGGTGTTATCAAAATGTGCATGGGGTACTGAGGGATAAAGGCATCCAGGGTGTTTAAATCACTAGCCTGAGGGACATGGATGTGGACCCAGAAACAAGATAGAGAACGAAGAAGAGCCTGGGAAGGTAAAATTGGACTGAGCATAGCTGGTTGAGATTTATGGCTCATCCAAATAGAATGTCTTGCAGAGTAAAAGTTATGTCTGAATCTTGGGGAAGGAGCTGGAATTGAGACTTGGTTGAGCATCAGTATATAAATGATAGTTGCAGCTGGAAAGTAGATGGAACTATGAGGGAAAATATGCAGGGAAGAAATGGGAATTCTGAGGAACTCAGCACAGGGTAGAGGAGAGGACATTGAAGGAGCAGACAGTGGTAAAATGAAACTAAGGAAGAACAGTGGTGAGTGGCCAGGGGAACAGAGCAATCGGTTAGGAAGAACTCAAGTCAGGCTGATTCTGGTTTTGTTGTGGTGCTCTCTCACTCAAAAGAACACCAACAGTACCAACCTACCATCTTGAAAGGCATCCGGAGTCTTCCCATGTAGCTGCCGTTGAATTTCCTTTGGTCCTATAAAATGTGCAATTACTTACAACCTTCTGATTCACCGGTGTGTTCAAGAGAGAAAGCTGTTTCGCAGAAAGAATGTTGAATTAGAGTTGTGGTTTTACATTAAAATCTCCCAAGAAACTTAAATGTCTATTCCAGAACTACTTGATGGGAATTCTGTTAAGTCAAGCCTGTGTTTCCTGACTTTTAAGGCTTCTAAGATAATGTTTGAAGTAAAGGTCCACAGCTACCAGTTTAGACGGTCATACATTCACAGTTTTTTTTTTTTTTTTTTCTGTCACAGCCATTGACATGTGGTCTGCAGGTGTCATACTCCTCTCCCTGCTCAGTGGGCGGTACCCATTTTACAAGGCCAGCGATGATTTAACTGCTCTGGCTCAAATCATGACAATTCGAGGATCCAGGGAAACTATCCAGGCTGCTAAAGCTTTTGGTAAGTTTTATATCCTAGAAAAACACAGATGCTTTTGATTATCACCTATAAATTCCTAAATAATTTGTTACAAAATTCTCCTTGTAAATAAACTTGTTCTATATTCATAAAGTCATCTAGTCTTCAGAAATTATTCATTTGCTTGAAAAAAGTCATTTTCTTTAAAATATAAAAATCATTTGCCATTATCATACACAGAGTACTAGTGACTCTAGTATTAAAAGCAGAACTTTACATTTCTTTGTCAACTAGCTAGAAGAAATCGGCTTTGTAATCTTAACTCTTCCATTGTAATTTGACTTTTATTATATAAATGTTTGTAATAGTAAATTTTAATCTTCTGTATATTGAACATCGGGTACTTGGCACTGAAGTGAGGACTACAGTAAGGGAAGGTAATAGGAATGTTTACTTACTAGTCCTCAGTTTCTTTGGTTAGGGTGGCAAAAAGGTAAAACAATTAGTATATGATGTAATTACTTTTTGAGACAGGGGTCTCATTGTATACCTCTGGCTAGCCTGGAACTGACTGCATACCAGACCAGCTTGGAGCTCACAGAGATCCTCCTGCCTTTGCCTCCTGAGTGCTTGGGTTAGTGTGATACCACATCCAGCTCATGAGCTTAAATATTAGTGACACAAGTCAAGACTAAGACAATGCATTCTATGGGGTGCTTGAGAATTACTTCAGCCTCGCTCTAGTAGCCCAAACGCAAATCGCACCCTGTGTCTGTTCTCCAAGTAGTCTTCCAGTTGCTACTTCCCAGCATGGGTGTGCTTCAGTCAGTGGGTGATAAGGTCAGTCTCTCAGTTGGCCTACCTCAAGAGTAACTAAGCCCCAGAACCAGTGGTTCTCAAGTGGAACGACATGTCAGAACTGACTGACAGTAGAGAACTATATACTTGTGCCACGACCCTGCCTATATGGAAAATACAAATTAGAAAAATGGAGTACTATATTGGGAAGGGTTACTTCTGTTTAGAATGCTGCCTTTGCTTTGGAGCACCAGTTGCCAAGGTCTAATGTGCCAGAAAAACTGTGTCTTAAGAAGAGTCTCAAAATAGACTTGCCAAAAAGTAGTAGCCCCTACTCTGCAGTTTGTGCCTGTCTACCTGTTATTTTTCAGCGTTAGCAAGCTAAACTAGTGCACACAAGGGAGGAGTGACACTACTGTCCTGACATTAGGATTATAGTACAAAGAACAGGACATACTTACGTTTGCTCTCAACTACTTAAAACTATCCACCTCCCATTAAACGGCTTCACCAGAAGGTTGGGCATCTGGAGTTTGTCAGCCAGTACCAAAACATCTTGTTGAAAAGCTTGAATTTCTTTCCCTCAGTTATAATGAGGGCCAGTAATGGAATTACTTCAAACAGGTCTTACAAACTTGAGCAGGGTGTGGAAGACTCAGTGCCCACAGACTTGCTGTTTTGTACAGAGTGCTGACTTGCCAGTGTTGTGCAGAGCCTGTTGTATTGTAGGTGGTCGTTAAATACTTGTTGAATTGTATTGAGTAAATTAAAAGAAAACTTTGAGCTGAAACAAAAGCCTGACACAATATATCCTGACTGAATGTGTTCATTAGGTTGTTTCCCTCACTACTAACACGTGTGCTAAAATTTGTGCGTACATATATAGTATAGGATTTGCTGAACTTTATCTTAGGATGTCAGAGCAAGCTAATAAATTTAGGGATAAAACTGTAATGGTGTCTTCCTCTGGCTAGAATTTCCTAGCAAAAGTAGAAGTGAGTTTTAAAAGTAGAAATGGACTCACATGTTGTATTCTCACTAAGCTTAGTTTGTGTTAATTTGCTTTCTTAGCTTTCTCCATCCCTAAACTTCTCATCCTTTTTCCTGTCTAGTAACTATATTAGAAAATAAAAAGGAGGCTTTTATAACCAGGATTGCTTTATTGGCAAGCTTCGTACTCTATCAAGGAATTTACATGTGCATCTCATTATTTAAAGCTGCATTTCTGTTTAATGAAGAAGTATATAGTTCATGATTATCTGTGTCTGTCCTTATTTTTGCCCATTCTGATAATCTAGTTTATTGATTGATTTTGTTCATGACCTTGCCTGGCCTGGGTATCTGGTGCTACCCATTGTGAGCTGACAGTAATAGAGCTTAAGTCCTGGTCCCAGGAAGCATTTACTATTACAGATGGATAGTTGAGGAGAAAGGAAGAGTATGCAGAGGATTCGGCTACTCTTAGGATAGGTTGATCTAGAATATCCAAGTAAATACAGTCTCTAGTAAAACAGACAGAAACTGAGCATCTGTGTGTGCCAGGAATCAACAGGTTTGAGGAGTTCAGAAACATCTTAATCTTCAGGGCACTCACAGTCCTGTGGGTGACACAGACAAGTTTCATTAGTTGTCACAGTAAAGGTAATAATTTAGCCCTCCACTGATTAACAGAAACGTAACAAGGACTTTCTGAATACAGACCTCACAAATATGATTCTTGAGCTAAGCAGAGGTTATGTACACAGGCATATCCTAACACAGGGAGCTATGCCCAAAACATGGAGGTTTGGAAGGAGAGAAAGGTAGGAACTCCGGCTCTTTAGAGAAGTTGGCTGTCAGGCGAATCCCTGGCATAGCTCAGGGAATCCCTGCTTTCTGCCTTCTGCCCCCTACTTCGTAGACTGGCTTTTATGAAGGTTGAACACATTCATGAGGCACATGACTAAACTTACATGTTCTTCAAGGGTTACTTTTGATATATGCAGATAATTCTTTCTTTCTTTCTTTTTTTTTTTTAGGCAAATCAGTTTTGTGTAGCAAAGAAGTCCCAGCACAAGACTTGAGGAAACTCTGTGAGAGACTAAGGAGTCTAGACCCCACCACTCCCAAGATAGCAGTTGATCCACCAGAGTATGTCTGTCTAGAGAACAATGCCCGTAAAACTTCTTCCCGAGGACAGACACCTCCAGGACAACATTCAGAGGATTCCTTGTGTAAAGGGGACAGTGATGGTTGTGGGAGTCGTCCCAGGGAGTGTACTACCAACTTGGAAGGCTGGGATGCAGTACCTGATGAAGCCTATGACCTGCTTGACAAACTTCTGGATCTAAACCCAGCTTCCAGGATAACAGCAGAGGCGGCCTTATTGCATCCATTCTTTAAAGATATGAGTTCCTGATGCAGTTTTCCATTCACTGTCACTGCCATGTGTTGTGAGGTGGGGTGATCACAGGTTCTTGTTTGCATCCAAGTCCAGGGAAGCATGAATAACTTATTTTAAAGTTACAGTACTTGCTCTGATGTCATATTGTAAGCAGATGGGGACCTTTTCAAGATCCAGGGGGAAACCTCTACATGATCTTGGAATTAAACCACCAAGTAGAGTCAGATCTTTAGTTCCCTGATTTTCTCTGCTTCCAGAGCAGCCTTAGCCTGATGCACAGGTTCAAGGAACAGGTCATAAAGTTCACAGATATGACAGGGAATAATAAGGGAGTGAAAATAAGGGAGTGTGTATGGTCTACGCTGTGTGTGCATGGGGAACTGGCTCTTGGTGGTGTACAGGAGAGACAGTGATCTTTCCTATTAGTGTGCATATAAACAAATAATTACTGCCGGGATATAGGAGAAATGATACCACTTCATACAGTCATGTCTTGTAAGTTACACAGTGTGTACTGCAGTTTCTGGTTCTTCATTAGGTGCATTTATTTATATTGGAAACCTAATAATGTGCATATTGTTGATGAGGCAAACGTGCTGCTTTTGCTCTACAACTGTTTTTTCACACTATCTAGTTTATTAATTAGGTAACTGCTACAAGGAAAGGTAAGAGTACAGCTGGGAACACTACGGGGTTTTGTCTGCTAGGAGCATCCAGACTCCTGCATTTCTGACCTAAGTTGACCTTGCTTAGGTGGATTGGGAGGAAAGATAATGATGTAGACAAATGTGCATTTTTTACATTCTAAACTGCCCCGTGTCTATGATAGCATGCCAGGCTTCCCAGGGGTCAGGAGGGTAGACTTGCTGAAGAGTTCCCTTCCTATAATCATAGGTCATCAGTATACTCATTTTGCTGTTTTGAACCCTGGTAGATCAATGTGTATAAACACTTTGTCTTATGCTATATTTTTTTTAAAAGCTTGAATGTTGTGGGGATATGTATTTAATAATAAATGCTTCCTTTTAGATTCTTATGTCAGACTACTCCTTTAAAGAATGGCAACTTATTCAGGCACACATGGTATGTGTCTATCGTCTGCCCAGGTTGCTTGAGCCATGGAGAGGGCTAAACAAGAGTGGTGAGGAGAAAAACAAAACAACTTTTACATATTTCTTTCCAGCAAGACATGATGGGGCACACCTTCAATCTCAGGACTCAGCAGGCAAAGGCAGACAGATCTCTTGAGTTCCAAGCCAGCCTGGTCTGGATAATGAATTCCAGGCCAATGAGGGCTGTCAAAAAATAAATTAAAATAGAATTATTTTTATTCCTTCTGAGATTAATGCGCAATCCTTCTCCACTATATAGAGGGTAGTAGATGTACAAATACTGGCCTAGCTGAGTGAAACTAAAGAAGATGGAAGAGTCTGTAGCAATGTTCTCTTTGACCTAATTACCAGCTTTTTCAAAAGCACAGTCTCAGTAATCAACTTTGATTCACAAGGTGACTCTCAGTGTAAAAGAATTTACCAAGAGAGGCAGCAACTGTCTCAGAACACTTAGAACTCAGAGCTGTTGTTTTAACTTCTTTTAGGACAGGATTTGATTGGCATGCAAGATACGTTAATAAATATATGTAACTCAGAAAAAAAAAAATAACCCAGCAAATAATAATGGAGTTCAAACTTTGAGCTGAATATCAGAAGTATGAAGTAGCCAGCCACTAACTAGCTTCTTACTGCTACCTCAGGCTGAAAGGGCTGATCCACAAGCTCTCGTCATGGCTGGAGAATGAATCTGTTCTTTAAATACCTCTCAGTGGTCCTGGGATCAAAGGTGTGAGCTCTGATTCTCTTTTAGATTGATTTATTCTTGTGTAGATCTGGGTGTCCTTGGACTCACAGAGATCCATCTCCCTCTTAATCCTGAGGCCTAGGAATAAAGGTGTGTGCCTGGTTTCTATGACTTGTGGCTGACTTTGCTTTTCTGAATCTTCGGGCAAACCTTAATAAGTCATATATAATATATTACCACAAAGATAGCCAGTATGACAAATTAGTTTTCAGGAAATCTGGTAGATGTATCAGTTTTGAAGAAACATCCCTACTATGTTAATCATAATTAGTAAGGAACCTGTATGTATGTTGATGTGTGTAAATGAGAGTTGGGGGCAGGGGATTGCCGTCAGGTGTCTTCCTCAGCTTCACCTTATGTTTAGAGACAGGGGCTCTCATTGAATCTTGAGCTCACCAATACAGTGAGGGTAGTAGCTGGTCAGCAAGCCCCAGGGACCTGCCTGCCTCTACCCTTTCAGGGCTAGGATTACAGGTGCTCACCATTGACCCCAGCTTTCTATGTGGGTCCTGGGGATTCAAACTCAGGTCTTTGTGCTTAAGTGGAAACCACTTTACTGACTGAGTCATCTCCCCCCAGCTCCTTTGTGGTTAACGCCATCTAAATACTTCCCTAAAATAGTCATTTCTAAGGAAAGATTAAGAAGGTTGTGTTAGGCATGGTGGCACAGGGCTGAGCTCAAGGTTAGCCTCGGCTTGGTAAGCAAGACTGTCTCAAAGTGACTAAATGTTTTCCTAGTTCCTGGAATATTTGACTACTACTCTTCATGGCCAGCTTTTTAAAAATTCTTGTTGCTTGAACTTCAGGTTGTTAAGGTTATTTTTGTTTAGCAGGCCTTTAGACATTTAGAACTATTAACATAAGCTACAAGTATTGGGTTTTGAAACAGGCTGTACCCCAAGCATTTTTAAAGAAACTTTCCCTAATAAGGAGATGATTTTGCTTTCTTTAATGACCCAAATTAAGAAAAATAAATAAAAAGTGGAACAAGGATTGTGACCCTAATGAATCCAACTGAATTTGTTTCAGAATCTGAACAAAACTCATCAAGTAATGTTAATCCCTTAGTTTCTGGCATCAGCATTGTAGGAACAAATTTGTGTTACAGATGTTAGAATATTGATTGCATAAAGTCTTGAAACCCATAAAATGTGTAGTCCTAGGTCCTAGAGCTTTCTATTGTTTATGTAATTTCAGCCCAATACGTCACTGTAAAGTTATTTATCTTAAAAAAAAAAAAAAAAAAGGCCATATTTGTCAAGTAATACTGCCTGCCAGCGTCTGCAGATGTCCTGTTTCCTCCCACATGAGTGCATGTCATCCAGTCTTTAGAGAACGCTGTCTCCAAGGTCGTGTCATTTTGCTTCAAAAATTTTCCCCATCTTCTTAAAATTGAAGCTGCTCTTCCCTGAATTTTGTGAGAGAGACTGTGTGTCTGTGTGTGTCTTTGTCTGTCTGAACTGCCATCTTTCTTTGAAGGGTAGCCTGTCACTCAAGTTCCAGATAAGCAGTCAGAAGTAATTGATGTCCCCCATTACACATGAGGTTTTCACAGAATAACCAGAGTCACCGATAAGGTAAGGCTTCCGCCTTCAATGGCGCTCTGGATATTTCAAGTTAAAAACCGTGGTCTCTGAGCAGCAGCAGATTGGGTGAGAACGATACAAGAGTGAAGGTGGAGACAGAAGCCGCAAGCCCTGTGAGTGGAGCATGAGCTCAGTGTGACCAGCTGGTTTTCTCAGTGGAAGAAAATTAACTAAAAAGATAAAATAGTCCTTGAACTTTGTTTTTAGTGCTTTAGAAATTGACACTTGATGGAAAAGAATTCAAAAGGGTGAGTAACATTCAAACCTTTTTGAAGAATATTGTATTTTCCTAACCTTTGTAAGGTAAGAGCGATGACTAAGAGACATGTGAATGGTTTTGCATTTCTTTTTAAGCATATCCCGTGAGCAGAATAACCCTTTTGGAAGGTAACACCAGTGAGAAAATTCTGCCTTGGACCCAACTGAAGCAATGCTTTTTAAAAAAAAAGTAAATAGGACTAGAGAGATGTGGCTCAGCAGTTAAAAACATTTCTTGTTCTTACAGAGGACCCAGGATCAGTTCCCAACACCTACATGGTGTACAGCCATCCCTAACTCCAGTCCCAGGGGATCTAATACCCTCCTCTGACTTTGGGGACATCAGAAGCACATACAGGCAGGCAAACCCTCAAGCATGAAAATAAATCTAAAAAAAAAAAAAAAAAAAAAAAAATTTTTAAAGAGAAGTAATAGGTTTCACATTAGAAAACTTAATCCCAACACATAAAAAGTGATTGAAAATTAATAACTTCATCTCTAGTGCTAGATTCAGACAATGTAGTGCTACCAACAGGGAACCAAAAAAGGCAGGACACCCAAAACCTGTGAGTGTCTTTTTGAAAGTATTACCAATGTTTCCTTAAAATACACTTTTCTCTAAGGTGGTGAGGTAAATGTCTTGTGTGTGTGTGTGTGTGTGAGTGTGTGTGTGAGTGTGTGTGTGAGAGAGAGAGATTTTAAAAGTTATGTATATGCATGTCTGTTTGAGACAGATTTTTACCCGACTGGCCTCAAACTCAGAGATTTTCCCCTTCCTCTTCCTCCTCGGAGCTGGAATTAAGGTGTGTGCCATCATAACCAACCTCTCCATGTCTCCATGTGTCCTGAGTTTGGGTGAGTTGAGGTCATTGGAACTCCTGGATCTGGAACCATAGAAGTTATAAGCCCACCTGACATGGGCACTGGGAACTGAACTCAAGTCTTTTGGAAGAACAATACATGCTCTTACTGGCTGAACAGTTTCTTTGATGCATACCTTTAAAAATAATTACTTTGTTTATTTATTTAAATGATACATGAGGACTGTCTTGGTTAGCTGGGTTTTGGGGATTGTATACCTGGCTTGGCAGCCTTAACCCCTGAGACACTTCACTGGCCCTCTAGCCCCTTTCACCTCCATTTACTTTACAATCCTGTCAGTAAATATTCATACCTAATGCTTCTTTAAATTAAAACAAAAGTGCTCTAGCATTGTACACCTCCTTCTGTGTCATTCATCCCAGACACGGAAAACAGCCGCATGTAGAGTTAGGTTCTTGACAGACACTACTTGAAATAATCCTTTTGTTAATTAATTTTCTTTCTTGGCCATAATTCCAGACTAGGAACTTATCTTTTTATTTTTTTTAAATTTATGTCTTTTACTTTTTGAGATTATATTATAATTTTATCATTTACCCCTTCCTTTTCCTCTAAGCTGTCCATATATTCTCCTAAATACGTAACTATAGCCTGCTCTTGTCTGTCAAAGCCTCTCTCAACAAGGGTGTCTATGTTTCCTGTTTGGATTTTTTTTTTTTTTTTAAACAGGTGTCATGTAGCCCAGGTTGTCCTGTAGTCTTCTTTGTAACCATGGATGCCCTTGATCTGCCTCCTCTTTCCAAGGGCTGGTGGTAGCCATGTGCCACCATACTCAGAGTGCCTGCTTTTAATGGATGTCTTTATTCTTTGTGTGCATCCTCTTGGTAGCTTTTCTGAAAATTGGCATATGACTAAGATAGACAAGAAACTAGAAGGAGAGAAAAATGGAATAGCTTGCTCCTGCTTATTTTTCTACTTCCTCACGAAAGTGTGACTATGATCAAGGCAGTATTCCAGTTAAGAACAAACCAAAGGGGACTTTGGACTTTGTAGTTGCCATTGCCTGAAATGTCTTCCCTTCTGTCCCAGTCTGTGTGTCCCAAATGCATTTGTTCATATCAGCCATCAGCAGCCTACCCGTCTCCATATAAAGCCTACTGTGGCCACTCCGGCCCAAACAGCGGTTTCCATGAAGACCTGTAGTGAGCACGAGCCCCTTGAAGGTAGAAACCACTTTCAGCATTCCTTCATATTTCCTGCTGCTAGAGAGACTCGAGTGGTCGGTCTAAACTTTAGGGTTGCCTGGGAACTTAACCCCATGAGAGTATTTGAAGCCCCATCATAGAACACCCCGGTCTAAAGATGGCCCCTTTTTAATTCTTAGACATCTAAAGGGTTATACTGTTTTCTGGTGATGAACTGTCTATCCTGTGGCTTCCCAGCTCCCCCATGGTCCATCCGTCTTGATATTAATTCCTCCCCTCTCCAAGTTGCTGGTACTTTGTTC